CGACAGATTGCGGCGACGACCGATGCCCAGCGCGCACTGGTGACTTTACCAGGGGCCTCGGCGAAGACGTGGTTTGGTCGACCCCGGAGGGCACAACGGTGCAACGCGCTCGAGTAGTGGAGAAGCAGCTGCGGGCGACGGTGGGGAACCGGTCCCGTGGATAGGGCGACGGTGCAGAACCGGACCCTTGGATAAGGTAGGAAAAGTCCAGTGGGGACTTTATCTGTCTTGACCTGGGGACGCCCAGTGTCTACCTGTTATGACCTGGGGACGCCCAGTGTCTCCCTATGGGGCAGGGACAGAGTATGGCAGGCAGGGTAAGGTGTACACCCTTGGAATGCATTCTGGTGAACTGGAAAGTGTTTGGATCGGATCCGTTGGTTAAAAGTAAACTGAAAAGGTACTGTACAGTAGACTGGCCTCAATATCAGCTAGAGGACCAGGAAAGGTGGCCACCGGAAGGATCACTTAATTATAATACAATCCTTCAATTACTTCTGTTTTGTCAGCAAACGGGTAAATGGAATGAACATATGTATGTACAGTTGTTTATGTTGCTAAGAGATAGGTTAGATATTTTGCAAAAGTGTAATTTGACTCCGACCGGTTCGGTAGTAGCTACTGTTAGTCCCCAGAACCCCCCCACAGCTGTAATGGCAGGTCCGGTGTCCCCTTCGGCTATCACACCCCCACCATATAAAGACAAAGTGTCTCAGGTCCCAGAGATTGCCCCCTCGGTGGAATTTTATCCGTTGATCACTGAGACCGTGGTGTCCAGACATGGCTCAGATAGGAATCAGGCCACTACTATGCAGGTTTACACCCATGTGCCTTTTAACCTGGTGGACCTAGCAGCCTTTAAGGCACAGGCAGGGGAATTCTCTACGAACCCAAGCAAGTCTATCTCGGTCTTTGAAGGGTGCCTGGCTAGCTGTAAGCCTGACTGGGATGATTGTAATGTCCTTATGCGAACCCTGCTGTCTGAGGTGGAGCGTAATCAGGTTGTGTCTAAAGAAAAGGAAAAGAGGCAGGCGAAAATGATGGTCACAGCAGTACAGGCCGGTGGCAGGGGAAAATTCCAGGAAGGTGGAAGGGGCCGGGGAATGAAAGGACATGGGCGTGGGCGCCCTGGCTCAAAGGAAAGGTGTCTGGGTCGCAACCAGTGTGCCATATGCCGGAAGGAGGGACATTGGAAAAATGAGTGCCCCGAAAGGGAAGGTACCCCTATGATGGCAGCGAAGGATCAAGAATAGGGGTGTCAGGGGAGACGGACTATCCTGCCCCTGGAACCCCGAGTAAAAATGCAGGTGGGAGATTCGGACATAGACTTCTTAATAGACTCTGGAGCTGCACGAACCGCCGTAAACCAACCCCTGCAGCTGCCTGTGTCAAAGTCCCTCACTGTGGTGGGTGCCACAGGGAAAGGAACCAAATGCCCAGTATATGCCCCAGCGGAATGTGCTTTGGGAAACAGAACTCTATCTCACAAACTGGTTTACCTCCCTAATTGTCCAACACTTCTACTGGGACGGGACCTGCTTTGTCGCTTAGGTGCCACCCTGCATTTCACCCAAGATGAAATAACCCTCACCTTACCCCAAGAGAATACCTGGATAATGACCCTTGCAACTGAGCCCTCAGCCATGCAAGCCACAGAGTGGAGCCAGTGGGATGACAAAAGGAGGGTTAAAAAGCAGCTTTGCTGGACAGTGTTGGCCCAGGAATTTAAAAATTCCCCCACCCTTTTCGGCC